ATGCAGTCCATGTGATGTCACCCTTGAGATTGCTCCAGAAGCTAGAGCTAGTTCGTTACATGTACTAAAATATCTTCACTGGCTGCCAATTCACTACTGAACCAGACTCAAATAAATGGTAATTTAAATACATCATCCACTAAGATACCTACAATCTCTGGAGGGATGCATGCTTTTCATACTATAGATTACTGATTGTCACTTGTCTACAACATAGCAATAGGCCATATCTGTGATGGCTCTGTTCAATGAAAAACAATAATGGCTGTGAGGGAGACACTAGCCAATTCAAGTAGGCTAAAGCTACAGATCACTGCCATATTGTCAAGCCCATGATTGGATCAGCTGTAATACACGACTGTGGAGTTGGAGTCAATATCTTGTGGAATAGATCTGGATACTTGAAAAAGTATCTTGAAAAAGTGAAGTAATTGAAGAACAGCACAGATGACAAGATGATAACAGTAAGAGCTCCCAATAATGACGCATAAGAGTAGAGAAATGATGACTTCCAGAAGTCAGAAGCAATAGTCTAAAATAGGCCTGATTCCCAATGTTCAGGGATAACTGCTTCATAAAGTATTTCATTAATTTGATTAATTTTCAGTTCAAATTAATGATCTTTCTCCCAGTATTTACAAAAGGACTAAATACATACTTCTTATTTGAACACTATGTTCAGCTTGTCTTACATGTTTAGTCTTTCATGAATGTTTCTATTGTTATCCACCATGTAAATCCTGTTTCCAAAACTAGAAAACTTTTTTATTCCTGACTTAAGCAGCTCTTATCTCCCCCCCCCCCTTTCTATAAAGAGAAAGGCAGCCCATCTGTCTAACAAATCTGTCATTTCCCTCTTTCCATGCTTCTCATTCCCGCAATGTCATTTTTAGTCAACCAGTTGTATGGATTCAGTTTATAGAATTTTAATAGCTCAAGTTGTCTCCACCAATGTTACATCTCATATCTTCAGAGTTATCCATTTAGTATAATTCACCCTCTCTTATGATCAGAACTATAATTGAGTTAGAAGATGTATACCCTTGGATCAGATTCCCATCTGTGACAGAACGAACTTCAAAAAAACCAAGAGTATACATAGAAGTAATTCCTAAAGCATTAAACAAAAATTACTCCTAAGCATATAACCTTTTAGCTTTATCCTTCTAATTTAATCTGTTTTTCATATGAATACATACTGTTCTATTTCCAGGATAACAAGTAGCAGATGATTCTGAAGTTAACCTGGTATAAACCAGTGAATAATTCAGTGTACTCTGTCAAAATTGGACTACAGTTATGTTAGCAGCACCTTTGTCCAGAGGTAGGTCTCACATACTCATGTAACAACTGGTTCAGCCAGAATCAAAAATGTGAGAGCGCGCAGCATCATAAAACTGGCGATTATATAGGACGTGATAGCACCAGGGCGGGTGGGCAGACTGCTGGTTGGAACTACTGGTTCGCCTGAACCGGTCTGAACCGGCAGCAGGCCATGGTTGCCTTTGTCCCTACTTATTCTTTTTCTTCATTGCAAAACTGTCACATAGCAAAACATGAAAAATTATACAAGAATGTGATCTTGTTTATCTCTGAATTAACAACAAAATAATTATATTCAAGACTTCAGATATGATTATGTACACTGTTCTTTGGCAAAACTGTCTACAGTGTGAGACAAAAAAGATGCCACACATGAAGCAGGCCATGAAAATTTTAATATTTAGTAAGAAATCTGTTTCTAGAGGTTTATACCACATTTGACCATATAAGAGATAGACAGTTAAATTGGGGGGAAAAAACAGACATGTAGAGTAATTTAGAACATCCTTTTATTCTAATCCAAAATAAACACATTAGGAAACAATGAAATATATAATGAATATGAAATACTAGTTCCTACATAAAATATACACCAGACTGGTTTGTATATATAATGGTCCTGCATATCATGCACACCTAGAGAAGGCCAGATAAAGTACTGCAGTCATCAGAACAGCCTTCTTCAAATAATGTTGGTTGGGATTAAGAGTTGGAATCCATTGCATTTGTAAGATAGCAGTTTAAGAATAGAAAGACAATTACAACCAAAATAGTTAACTAAGAGGAGATGAACAAGAGAATTATTCTTATTAATTATGCTACCTACTTAGCACCTAAAGAAAAGCAATAATAAACAAAGTGTAATAAGAACAAGCATTAAGAAGGAAAAAAAAACCAATCGAATGCAAAACTAGACCAGAAAGGAGATGATACTATCCTATTTAAGGAGAAAGTTGTTGGAAAATGGGAAAATTGATCATAGAATTAGACAAAATTCATATTAGTGAAAACCATATGATAAATGCTTCTTAAACACCACTTAATCCATGCCAAAACACAGAACAAGCGAAGATTGTTATAACAGTTTAGAAGCAATCTCATATATTCCTTAATTATTATTCTTCCAAAATATTGTGAATGAAGGGCACTGATATGATTATTATGTAAATATTTACAGAACTTTATATCAAACCCTCCTTTAGCCTTTTCTCTCTTGACACTTCTCATTATATGAATGAGAAGAAATGTCTAAATCAGTTTTGACATGTCATGATTACCAAAACAACTATTTTTGTTTTTGCTTTAGTTAATTCTAGCAGTCTTTATTTAACTTTGGCTTGGCAAAACAGATGTATTTAACCATTGTGACATATAAATTTTTGTTTACTGCTTACGTTATGTCTAAATCAGGCAACGATGGATTATTGAATTAGCTATTCTTAAAACAAATCCTAGTTTAGAGCAAGATGTGAACCTATGCAGATGAAAAAGAATGAGCCAAGGTAATTGCATACAAGAGTTGGAGACAAAAGTAACCATGAACTAAAAAAAAAAAAAAAGAGCAAAGAAAGCAAAGAAACAAAAAGTATCAGGGCCTTACTGACAACTTAATGAGAAGCTTGCCTGTTGAAACTTACATTGCTACTTAAGGGTTGCCTGATAGAAGGGTGCAACTGATGTGGATGCCTGCTTGGTAGGCTCATTTTGTTGAGATCTTTGGTGATATAGTGGATGGTGGGTGGCTGCATATGATGGTTTTGGCTGGTTTGATGGATGGCCAACATTGTACCAGTTAGCTGGGCCAGCAGAGGAACTAGAGTATGCTAATGATACCCACGTATGTGTCTCTACCGGGGCCATGTAGGTGATACTGTTGCAGTGCTATCCAAGCACAGTTTAAGCCTAGCAACACAGAGTGGCTTTGGGTTTTTGGCTCTCCTGGGTCTGGTGAGTTGTTACCTTTGACATTGAATGGGGCTGTACTCTCCTGCACTGAATTGGTGTGCAATTAGGGTATCTCTGTATTCATGGCACCTGCTTGATGATGAGCCATAGCTAGGTGGGCATTTGTGGAAATCCATTTTGTGGGACAATTGCACTCTTTTCTGGAACAGTCAGTCTTGTACCCACACCTTAATTATTTCCTGATTGGATTATTGCCATGTGCTTTACATGGAGCAAAGGGGTAGTGCATCCTAAGAGGATGATTAAGGCACAAGGTTTTTGTTTTGTTATTTTACTACAGGTAGTCCTCAACTTACAACAGTTAATTTAGTGATTGAAATTACAACAGCACTGAAAAAAGTGACCTATGACTGTTTTTTACACTTACAACCAGTGGTGGGTTCCGCCCAGTTCCGCCGAGCCGGTAGCGGTGACAATATGATGTCACAGAACCGGTTCTGCCCCTCGCCCCCCCGCCCCTCATGCATTATTCTTACCTTTTATTTGGCCCCACCCCCAATCTATTGCTGCCTCCTGAGTCCCAGCTGATCGGCTAGAGAGAAAAAAACTGTTTAAACTCTTGCCGCCAGGCTTCAAAGGGCCGTCCTACAGCTGATCAGTGTTAAAAGAAAACAAGTGAGTAGACCGGTGTCTGCAAAAATAAATGGGTAGATCGGTGCCTGCAAAAATAAATGGGTAGACCAGTGCCTGCAAAAATAAATGAGTAGACCGGTGCCTGCAAAAATAAATGGGTACACCAGTGCCTCCAAAAACAAATGAGTAGACCAGTACATCTCTGCAAGCAGTTAAAAGCCTGGTAGACCAGTATCTCTGCTAAAACCTAAAGAATTGTCACATGACCATCGAGCCACACCCATAAAATAAGCTACGCCCACAGAACCGGTAGTAAAAAAATTTAGAACCCACCCCTGGTACAAACCCTTTTGCCACAAATTATGTTTATATTGTTAGTCAGAATGTCTTGAACATTTTGAATTGTAATTGCAGTTAAAAACCTGTTTCTTTACTGTTCATTTCTTCAAAATCTTTGTTTTTCTTTTTCTCACCTGCCAACACATGACATGCACAACCCAAACCGACCTCTCTCAATGATGTCACATAATTGTCTAATGGCGCTACACAACTGGAACTAAGAGATTCTAACATCCCTTCCTATATGTCCTCCCTTTCTTCTTGGACTGAATTGTGTATTGCAATTTTTCCCCCTTTTAACACTGTGGCACCAGAAGCTTTTAGAATTTATTTATTTATTTACCTCTGGAAGAGCTCATAATTGTTCTAAGTAAAGTTCCTTTATCCTTTGCCCTGGAACAGGGGTAGCAAACTCGCAACCTATGGACCAGATGTGTCACGTCCTGGCCATGCCCACCCCCATTTTAGCAAAGGGGAAAAAGTTGTGATATGTCATGTGACGAAAACATAACGCCACGAGTTTGACACCCCTGCCCCAGAAGAATATAAGGTATTGTCTCTTAAATTTTCTTCCTTATATCTTACCTATTATAAATCCTATTAAGTTATCTTGCAGACCAGATTATTTTTAGACATTCTCCATAATGATTATTCTGTACCAAACACTATCTGAGAACATCTTAATATGTTAATTGCATGTACATTTGGATTCCCATTAACAATAGTATATTATTGATAATTTTCAAAAATATGTTCCATATTATAGCTTTGAATATTAAAAAAAACCAAAACAGAGGCACCTGAAGCTGCTGTTCTAGATCTGGAAAAGCCAAAGGAAAGGCATTCTCTGGGGGTGAATCATCTGAAATAAAAACATAAAGATTATGAACTCATGATATAAAGATTAGAGTTTGCTTATCTTTGTATCCTTATATGTAGAGAAATAACATTTTGATTGACATTTTATCACATTTTATAGATTGTCTCCATATCTATACAATATATGTGTATTTTTTAAAATAAAGATATGTACGAGTGTCTATCCAATATAATTGATCACTGAAAGTATCATCCTTGGATTTTTTTACAGCCAGTTATATCCTGAATCTCATATTGGATTCCGCTGTGACATGTATTGGAAGAATGGTTAGGTACTTCTCCCTTTTCTCTTGTAATTGATATTGCTTTTTAATCAAACTTTCTGTTCCAATTACACAATTACCAATCCACTAAAGATGGGGAGAAGAATGATGTGAACCAAGCTCCCCTGTGATGTTGCACCTTAGTGGAAAGAGGTTGCCTTTACTGATTCTTTGTAATTGGAAAAGACAGTTGCTGAAGTACTAGAAACAATCATTCCATATTTGAGGATTCACCAAGTCTATCTCCAGTCACAGGAAACCATTGTTGTAACCCCCTTGGTGCTAATGTATTTTACAATACTACTCTTAACATTTCTTTAGTCCCCAAATGCTAAACACTACAGACTATAATGCCAAACATTGCTGCCAGAGGATCAGAAGCCAAGGAGCAGTCTGTAATCCTAAGTATGGTCAGAGATGGAAGCAATGATCAGAGACCAAGAAGTATCAGTAACACAAGATCAAAGGCTTGGAAAACAGGGAGTGGAAGAAGGAACAGAGATACAGTGCTTCTGCAATGACCTTAAGTCAGCATTAGTATATAACTAACAGAACTCTTAAAGAGTAATGTAGTCATAGCCATTCTGAATACTTCTTGGGGTTTTAACTGGCTTACATTTTTTGTCTCAAGCAACTGGTGATGGTGGCTGTTAGCTGGTTCTGGTTGAAACTTGATTGACTCACCCTCTGCTTCTGTGTTCATCTGTTCTAAAAGAATGGTTTAAATAACCCACAATTGTGTTCACAACATGCAAAACTGAATGCAAACAATTATTTGTAAACAAATATTAGCCTGTTGGGTAAAACAGAAAATTCTATTTATATATTTTGTAAAGTATATTTTAAGAGAGAGTATCAAGAGAAGTAGCAGCCATGTAAAAAAAGACCACTGGGACATGATGTCTGACCAAGGTGATGATTTCTTGGTCCCTGACTCTGACCCTAAGGGGTTCCTAAAACGCTAAGGTCTTTGCTTGCCATGCATTAATTTATCTTACATTTCTGTCTTGCATTTATTCTGTATAACATACATTGTCTTACATTGCTGTAGATGGGCATCTTTTCCCTGAATAAAATATATCAAGTCCTTTTATTTATTTTTTTACAAATCCATTATTCATTATTAATATACATTATGTAATATTAGTAATTTAATTTAAGTTACTCTCCCAAAACCACTGAAAGCTGGAAGCTTTTATAATGTTTATAAAACTAAATATTATTTCTTCTCGAATCTTAATGGCATCATATAGTATTCTGGATTTACACAATTTGACAAGGTATGACTTACTGAAATATGGTTGCTTACATAAGCTGAAAGAGAAGCATCATATACACAGATATCACAATAAGCCCTACTATTATTTCTTCAGTTTTATTCCAATATGCTGTGTGAAGTCAGACATTGTTCAGCTTTAATTCATTGCTGTACCTTTCCCATTAATATATGTTTTCCTGGTGTTGGGACTGCCTTTGCTCACACTGCATATAAAGTTGTTTTTCCTCTAAAGGAAGAAACTATAAAGATTCATTAAATGAGGAATGGTGACCTCATATTTGCTTCATTATTTACATTTATTATAAAAAGATGAAGAGCTAAAAATACATATGTGCCCACTTCATACTAAGATATGCAGCAGATGTATTTTCTACTCTGGGATTATGTCGCAATACAAAAAAGCCTTGTCTGAAGTGTCCTAAGAGCTCCAGGAGGACCATGAAAGACTATTGGGATGTCAAGAATGAGCAGCTGGACAATAGTAACATCCTCTTTTTCTTCTGGAATGAGAATGGAATGAGCAGATCTCTGGCAAATTGCCATATGGCAGGCAGCCCAAACCAGTCTGGGTAAGGGGAAAACATTGATGGATTCAATGATGAGCATTATGTTTACTCTTCCAGTGATTAGTTTGAGGTATACCTCATTGGCACGTTTTTATGCATGTTATATGGAATTGTATCTAATCAAATCAATTCTGAAAAACCTTGCCAAGAAAACTACAGGGACTTGTCTTGGCTGTCTCCAACAATCAGATATGATTGAACAGTGGAAAAAAAGTGGAATTGTATCTAATCTTTGGCTAATAAAACAAGGTATTTTGTTCATCGTTCCTTTGGCTTACTAAATTATTTTTATAAATAACATTGACTAGAAAATTTCTCACATATAAGGCAAAAAATATTTTTTTTCTTAATACCAGTGGCTTTCTGAACAGAGGTAGAAGCTATTAGTTTGTTTGCTCAAAGAAAATCTTGGTGAGTTGAATGTAGTTTATTCCAAATATGTGGATAGGACAGTAGTTTGAAAAATCAGCATTTACTTGATTAACTACATCACTGACAAAATATAATAGCAGAGATTTTGACATAAAAATAAGGCTGCCCAATCTCCGTATTTATGCTCTATGTACGCTCATCATTTTATTACTTACTTACTAATTTACTTACTTATTTATTTATACTATAAGAATGCCAAACCCTAACTAAAAGATGAGGAGTGAGTGAGTAGGATTGGGGGGGGAGTGGGATCTGTTATCAATCTATCAATCACCTCCAATGAGTAGCTCCCCCATTGGAGCCTCAAGCCAACTGTCGGAGCCAGGTTTTTAAGTTCTTATGGACATTCAGGAGTGTTGGAGCTGACCTCATTCTGGGAGGGTTGGCTCCAACTCTCCTGATCATCTGCAAGAGCTTAAAGACCTGGCAAGATGTTCCAAAGTGTAGGAGCGACAGCAGAGAAGGATGTTCTGCTGGACTCTGCCAGCTGAATACCCTGGCCAATGGGGCCTGTAGCATGCCTCCTCTGCTGGGACTGATGGGATAGGCAGTCCAAGTGGGATGAGATGGCTATCTCCATCAAGCCTTTTTGGATAGAAAAATAGATAGATAGATAGATAGATAGATAGATAGATAGATAGATAGATAAGATAGACAGACAGACAGACAGACGGTAGATAGATGATAGATAGAAGATAGATAGATAGATAGATAGATAGATAGATAGATAGATAGATGACATATATTAATTTACTACTGTACAATATAGCTCAAAACTGCTGTTTCTCAGAAGGATTCCCATCACATTAATTTTTTTCTTATTTAATTATAGATACAGGTGGTGGTTCTGATTTTCAAAAAGATTAAACTCCCTAACTGACATGGACTGACTGAAATTGCCTTCTATGACTGCTCTTAGAAAACCAGTTTCCATTTGGCATCCATTTTTTGTCAACATCTTTATTTTAGGTTTCGGTGATTATTACACATATAGCTCTTGCATAATAATACCTCAGGAAGTATTTTACCGAACAAAAACATGTCACACTAACGCAATGTAGTGAACTATCTTATGGAGGCACATCAGAAATAATCATTCATCTCAAAATTTGAGAAGTTTGAGAAATGAGAATTCATCTCAAAAACAGCAACTTTGTAAAGTGCCTGGGAAATCAGGAGATTCAGGCAGTTCAAAAGAGTATAAAAATTTATTGCAAGCTTAAGTTCTCTAAAAGAATCTGGCCAACTGACCATTAAGGGAAATGCAGGAAAGATAAGAGAGGCATTCAAAATGGGTTGGACTTAGATCTCTTGTGGGTATGAAGGGATTCATGATTTATGATACGTTTGACCTTCTCCCTTGGGCTCAGTCTGGTCATCTCCTACAAGCTTCTGCCAAAAAGTAAAGATGTTTCAAACTTTGCTCAGGTTTCTGCTAATATTGAGAATAGGATGTGTTTCAGTATGTAAGAATTTATGCCAAATTGTATTAGTTATGCACCTCTGAAACAACAATTTGTCTATAAAATTTATTGACCATCTGGATGAGAAAATGATAATGATATTATTATTGTTAATAAAGATATTTGTTGGATTCATAGATAACAACAACAATAATAGCAATATTCTGCTCTGATTGTTACTTGCAGAGTTAGGAGATATGGGTAATATTTAGATTTCAAGTCATATTGTCTGAAGGTTGGTATGCACACATTCCTATATACACATTTCTTTGTCCCATTGTCTGGAAAAGAGAAAAGGGAAGACACCCTCTCTCATGTCCATCTATACTTGCAACTGAATAGCAGGCTGCTGTGGAGTATTTCCATAACAAAAGACCATATAAGCAGTGCTCTCCTCACATTTTTTTCCCCCTTAGGATAAATATTTTTCACTCAATCATCTGTTTTTCAGGACAGAAACATTTGTAGCAACAGCTGGACATGTATAAAAAGGGCATCAGGAGTGGGCTGTAAGGGAGAGACCACAAAAGCCATACATGGTCCAGGAATATTTTACCACTGCCTATGAATTAACATCATGTTTGCCTTGGTCTGCAAAGATATTACTCACATGGAAACTGTGCCTTACAACTAAGTGTAGAGAAGTTGTCTGATTAATCTTAGCAGTTAGTCTGAAGACAGTATGCTTTGACCAAAAATAGATCTTCAGAACAAATGTGTATTTCCTAATAATAGTATGGAAAAATCCAGCCAGCAGTCTTAAGCATCCTGAGCAAATAGTGCCTACCACAAAACAAAAATGATGAGTATAATGGTAATTAAATCTCTGCAACTTTTGATATGGAATAATGACATGAATTATGATGACTAATTTACAATTATACTGTCTAAATCATGAATGGATATAAAAATAAATAATTTATGGATGTAGTCTTACACTACCAAGAATTTCTGATTTCTAGAAATGCAAAATGCAGCAA